TGTGATTTATGGCTAAAGGACACAGTCAATGTAATCCAACAATGGCTGTCTCACAGTCGAGATACCAAGAATACAGTAGTTGTTCAGTCCATGAGGCTGAATGTCTCAGCAGTCCAGGGCACTGAAGGCCTGGAGAGCTGCTGGTCTTCAGTCTGCATCAGAATCCCCCCAAAATAGGTTCTGATATTGGAGAAGGAATGCCCCCACAATGGTCTAGATGAACTTGCCCAAGAGAGTACAAGCAAGTAGGTAGAAAGCAGTTTCCTTCTGCCATGTCCATCTGGACTGCCACCAGAGGGTGTCACCCACATTTAGGGTCAACCTTCCTGCTTGAAATACTCTGATCAAGAAAACCCCTCACAGTAGTGCCAAGTGGCTCTTGGCAGAGGTTGTACTGTCGTCCCCTGTCATGCCTTGTGGTCACACACCACAGAATAAACCCCGTTCATGCTAGGAAAGAACCAAGCACCGGATCGAATACAGCCTTTCTCTTCTTGCTTGTCTGAAACAGATTTGAAGCTGCCGACCCCTCTGGGACCTGTGAATCCACCTCTCATTTCCTCCGGTCTGAGTGATAGCAAGGCTGCGGGGCGAGACTGCGAATTGTCTCCTCGAACAGCAAAGAGCTTCCGGATACACAATGTGAGTCCTCTTTCTTCTCCTAACCTGTTGCAGACCGAGAAGATGTATCCCCCACAGAAGGGTGAGCTGAGAAAACGAGGTGCAGTGGCTGGGTGGGGTGGGTGGACCAGAGGGATAGGAGAAAGTGGCTTTGCCTCACCAGAATCCCCACCTTGACCCTGTCACCAGCCTGCCACTGGCTCCATCAGATTACAGAGAAACGGACCCCTATCGGTGTGGAAATGGTATTTCGAGACCTTGTCTGGGGAATCTTTCAAAAGAAGAAACTATCCCATATTCAGTTCTCTGAGGTTCCTGGTGGCATTTCCACCCCTGGACACCTCTGTTCTGCCTCATTGTCCTGAGTTTCTGCTGTATGTGTGTCTGCTGCATAAGGTGTTATGGGTCTGGTCTTTGCCTCTTGATACCCTGGAGGCCTTTTTGTCTTTGCTACCACTAATGGGTTAACTGATTTTCCCAAAGATAATAGGTTCATTTCATTTTGTGAGAAATGTGTTTCTCCAACACTTCAGAGTTATTCTGCATCTGTAATCCCTGATACATATAGATACCCAGGAAATCCAAATCCAATTCCTCACTTGGGAGACAAATGTCTTGGGGAACGTCCTGCCAGTGTGGAATCCATATAGGTGGATAAAACACGGATGCTGATCACAAGAACTTTAGGGTCTAATTGGGACAGGTTCAAATAGAGAGACATTAGCAGCAAGTCACAGAGGGACAGAGACCCTTTGAGAGGATACTTGGGAGTCCTGAGGGAAGCTAGTTCTGTTAAGAGTTTGGAACAGTCTCCTGAGGAAGGGATAAGTTATTGGGAGCCAAAATCGGAGTCTTAGAAGATAAATGGGAGTGAGGGAGAAGGCAAGAGAATGTTGGAAGTTGGGGATGAGTAGGAGGCAAGCAGAAAAGATGTAAACTTAGGTCCTGTAATGAAAACAGGGTGATGGTGAATGGTGGTGATGAGGAAGCAAGTCCTCACAGTAAACTGGGGTGAAGAGCAGAGCTGGTGGTAGTGAGAGATGGAAGACTCACTCATTGGTCACTGCAGCAAGAGTTGACATGAGGTCAACTCTGATCAGAGAAGATGAGGTTGCCTGGTTCCGTCTGAGGTCCATCACCAACAAGCTGTGACGCTCCATGGTGACCTGAAAAGGACCTTCCTTTGAAAGTGTCGCTGCCCTAAAGCTATATATAGACACTTAAATCTGATGCCCCAGAAGGCGACAAGACTGAGGAAATCCCATCTTTCACTTTGCTGAGCCTCAGTTTCCCTATCTGGGAAAGCAGAGGCTTGACTCCTGGCCTCTGATGTCTGTCAGCTCCTCTATCCCACTTCCAGAATGGCTGTCTCATTCCCTATCTGGTGTCTTTCTGGTCAGTGCTGAAAGAAACAAAACATTGTCTTATTTCCTGCTATGTGGGAGACAGGATGTGGTTTAAATTCCTCACTGGACCGAGTCCCTGTGGTGAGAGTCCAGCCTCCCTCTCCCCAGAACACTCTCACCCTGCCAGATGCCAAGTTAGAAGGAGCAGGGACACTCAGCTATCAGCTGCCCAGAGCCATCAGCCACCAATCTCGGTTACTGGCCATATTCCTGGCTCTGTGGAAACAAAGAAATCAAGACATGGATATAGTAATTGCTGGGAGTCCTCCACTAACAAGGAAGCCAAGAAGTCCTGGGAAAAGTCCCCTGGTGTGGAGTCAAGGACACTCTCCCACTGGCCACACCTGGGCAGATCAAGAGGGGTACTCACTGCACAAAAGAAACTGGTGTTGTCCAGGAAGAATCTGGGACCTGTTGACAGTCCAAAGGAGCCAGACAAGCAGAGAGAAATGAGATGAGGGTGATATGTTCAGAAACAAGGGAAGCCACACATATTAGTTATTTCTCTAGTGACCACCACAAAATACCCGATGTAAGCAACTTGTGCAAGGCAGGCTTATTTTGGGTCGCAGTTCAAGTATCTACCAGGAGAGGAAAGCATGGTGGCAAGAGCGCAAAACAACAACGCTTCTTTGATTCCTCTCTTTTTATTCAGGCCACAACCCCACTTTCTTACAGAGGCAAGATGAGAGTCAGAATCACATGGCCCACCAAATCTTGCATCTGAGAAGGCTGGTTTCCACCCCCTGAACACTCTGGACATGACCTGTGGGGTGTGTGTATGTCTGTCTGTCTGTCTGTCTGTCTGTCTGTCTGTGTGTGTGTCCATGTGTGCGTGTGTGTGTGTGTTCATGTATGTGTTCGTGTGTGTGTGTGTGTGTGTGTGTGTGTGTGTGTGTGTGTGTGTACAAACATGTGGAAGCCAGAAGCCAACATTTGAGTGTCTTCCCCAATCATTCTTTCCAAGATTTTTTTTTTTTTTGAGACAGGGTCCCTCCCTGAAATTGGAGCTTGCTCACTGAGCTAGACTGACTGACTGGTCAGTTGAGCTCCAGGAATTCTCCTGTCTCTGCATCCCCAACACCATATGCGTTGCTGTAACTGGCTTTGTATGTGAGTACTGAGAATCCAAACTCGGAACCTCACGCTTGCATACTTCATGCTCGCACAGCTTGCACTAAATGAGAAGAGTCCTATGTATCCCTTTGCATCTAAATTATGCCTCATCAAGGCTTTGGGGGCGGGGTGGGGAGGGGGAAACCACCTTGATTGATGTCCCCATGGAGCTGAGTAAGGAGCTGAATCCCATAGTGAACTGGCATTGTTCCGGCTTGAACTAAGTCAGTGCTCTGGCTCTCCATGAGTGGTGCTAGATTCCTGGCAGAAAGTGGAGGGTATGGCTCTTTCTTCTGTCTCTCAAGATAGCAGAAGGCAAAAGTCAATGAAATTTCATCTCATCAATGAGAGGTCTGATGAGAGCTGCCTGCTATATAATACAGTTTGTCTTACGGTGTGGCCACCGTAACTGGTCCTTTGCAGGCACGTATGGCCTCCCTGCCCCAGCAGGGCCCTTTCCGACACCTTATGGACATGAAGGCAGAGAGGAGACTGGCAGGCTGGAGGGAGCGCCGTAACCGCTTTGGTGACATTAGCACACACAAGTGCTATCAGTTTGGGCAGATCTTCTCTCCTTTCCAGGCTCTGGCCACCACGGTGAGTTTCTACCATGGTGAGTTTCAAATTAAGTCTGGGGGGGGCACCAGTGTCAAACCTCAATTCTTTGTCCTTTTCAGGAGTGTATTAGTCAGTTCTGGCCCAAGTGATGCTGAGTAACAAAAGACTAAAACTCAGAATCTTAGAATGGCAGGTGCCTATTCTCCTCACTCAATCTACAGAAAAATTCACTCCTTCCACTTTAGCTCGCTGCCAGCTCACAGAACTGGAGGGTGTAAAGAGCTGAAAATCAACCTCCCACCTGCCACTATACATGGTCTCTTGCATTGTGTGAGGACAATGATCTGCCAGAGAGGTTAGGGGAAGATAGGAAGGATGAACTGACCAACTTATTCTGGTTTTCCCAAGACTTGCATTCACACTTGTCCCCACAGTTTCCAACTTTTATCATGTGAATCCCTGAGCCTCAGGAAACCCCTAGGTCCCTGTTCTCAAAGCAAATATTGCAGCTCCTTGGAACTAGAGCAAACCAGATGGTTTGTCACACTAACCATCAGTGACTCCCATGTGAAAACGATTTATTATTCTCCAAACTTTCTAGAAACTAGCACGATTCCTCTTAAGTCCACTGGCCAATATTCTTCAGACAATGTGCTTGTGCCGGACCCAAACCCAGGAATAGAAATCCAAACCCCAACTCTGTAGAGCTTGTATGCTTCCAGGGAAAACACTGCCATGAACAAAATAATGCTGCAGATGCAGTTGTGATAAGTGGTTAATGAGAATAGGCATAAACTAAATTACTCAAAAGGAGCTAAGAGTCATCCATATTAGCACTGCTTTCTACTACACACACACACACACACACACACACACACACACACACACACGCACACGCACACACACACATACACACACGTAGCGATTTGAGTCTCTTTATTCAAGAAGACACCAGGGCAAAACACAGGCCAGAGCTAAGTTATAGAACCCAGCAAGCGCGGCCAGAACAAAAGGGCCAGCGTCCCCACGTGCAGCCCCTTAAGAAGCTCCCTTACGTCACCCCGGCTTTCCTTCACCCCGCCCTTACGGGCGAGTCCGGGGTCCACCTGGTACCTGTCCCAGGACTATTGGGCGGGGCTAGGGTGTCTCCCTACACACACAGTCTTCCTGCAAAACAAGTCCCTAGAAGTACATGCCTTCTCCATGGGAAGAGACTATCTCCCATGTGCTAGAAGGAACAGTGGCCACCTATTGTGTCATGTTGTCATGGTGACTTTTCTGTTGCTGTGATAAAGCACATAAGGAAAATGGGCTTATGGCTCCAGAGAAATAGAGTCCATGAATAGCAGTGACATTTGCAGCATGGTGGCATCAGGAAGCTGGCTGGTGACATTTTTCCACAAACAGGAAGCAGAGGAGAGAACAGGAAGTGAGGTGAGGCCATAAACTCTTCAAGCTGACCCCCAGTGATGCATTTCTTCCAGCAAGGCTCCACCTCTTCAAGGCTCCACAACCTCCCCAGACAGCACCACTGGGGGCTGAGTGCTCAAGTACATGAGCCTCTGGGTGCCATTTCACACTCAGACAACTCCTGGGTGCAGCACTGTAAACTGTGTGAAGACTTAATTCTCATGCACCTGCCAAATGAGTGTCACACTTACTCCCCACATAGTGGAGAAAAACAGAGTGGTATTCGTCTGCAACTGTTAGTGCTCCAGAACAAAGCCAGGGTTTGAACCTGGGGAGGTTCAACAGGATGATCCCATTGACAGCTCCTCCTCACCATGATTCTCTTCTGCCTCGTAGGAGATGAGAAGGCTGGTATTGCCCCGAGACCTGCCCGTGAGTTCTCGAATGCAGAAAATAAGTACTTCATCCCTCAGTGACATAAACCTCCAGGATATACCCCTGTCTCCCACAGAGCTGGACTTGGGAAAGGATGACAACCACCATGAAAAAGAGAAATCAGTGAGCCACATTAAAACGCCTTTATTCCCCCCAATAGTTAAAGCAACAAAATATAACGACACGAAATAAAATTGAAAACTGCCTGCGGCCCCTCACTACAAGATCTCACATGAAAACAAGCAATATCTAGGGGTCCAAGACTGTGGAGGCATCCTAGCAGGTGACAGTGTTCAGCTAGTCTAAGAAATTACCATATCATGCCCTGTGTGGATGCTCTGGGGTGGGGGTGGGAGGCTGAGCCATTAGAAAGTGTAAAAGGCACAGCCAGACCCAGCTCCTAATAAGACTTTCCTAGGAATCCTGAAAACTTAGGGGAGGATAAGGCTTCAGAATCCTACTCTCTGCACCATTGCTCATCAGCTAACCCCAGGGTATTAGATGGTCATCTCAGGTTTAGTTCCTCACAATGTGGCTAATCACAGAGAGTATCAAATACTGTACTTATGCTATGAGAGAGAGACAGAGACACAGAAGGAGAGAGACGCAGAGGGAGAGGGAGAGAGACAGAGACAGAGAGAGAAGAGAGAGGAGAGAGAAAAATTCTGCCTCTACCTCCCCCAGGTTCACAGAAAGTTCCTCCTTGGCTGGGATGGGGTGGCTCAGCTCTACGTGAACTACAAAGGAAGCTAATAAAGATCATATTGGGAATGTACTGGAAGACAAGATCTAGTATCAGGAAAAGATACAGAGCCGATGAGAAAGAATTAAGATCCGGGACATTTGATGTTTTATAAGCCAGACCATTACAAGGAGAAATGTCTACTTACACTCAACAAAAACAAACACTTTTTTATCATTTATAAACACCAATACTAACACTGCTCTCCCAAATGAACTCTTCCACCCTAAATAGATTCCACTTTCTTTGGATGCTTAAAAGCAATATATGCTCATAATAAAAACTGTTAAAAAGTATTTTTAAAGATAATTACCACCAGAGCTCAGTATTTGGAGACAATATGTGCTTGCATCTGGAACGTTCAGATCATCTGTCAGTGTCTTACACTCATTGACAAGGCTGAGTTTCAAGTCAACAACTGCACTTCCGGGTCATCAGTAAAACTACTAGACCCTGTGGACTCACTTCAAATCTCTTACCTCAAAGAAAATTAGAAATAGTTTGTTCTAGAACCCAATATGAGTAACTGTGGTGATACATTGCTTATGGTCTAATAAAGTCACTTCAGATCAAAATGCAAAGCTAGCCACAGCCACAGACCCAGGCAGTGGTGGCTCACACCATACTAATTAGTCATAGAAGCCAGGTGGAGGTGGCATACACCCTTAATCCCAGGACTCAAGAGACAGAGGCAGAGGATCTCTGTGATTGTGAGGCTAGCCTGGGCTACACAAGAATGAATCAGTCCGAAAGAGTAGCAGAGCTCGTGCCTTTAATCTCGGCACCTGGGATCACACGCCTTTAATTTCAGCGGTAGGAAGGTGGAGACAGGAGTGATATGGCTGGGTGGAGAGAGGAATATAAAGCTGGACAAGACAGAAACTCAGAGCATTTGCCGCCTATGAGGATTCCTGGAGACAAGATTGCCATTTGCTAGAGGTAAGAGCTACTGACATGCCGGGCATTGGTGGCGCACGCCTTTAATCCCAGCACTGGGAGCCAGAGGCAGGCAGATCTCTGTGAGTTCGAGGCCAGCCTGGTCTCCAGAGCGAGTGCCAGGATAGGCTCCAAAGCTACACAGAGAAATCCTGTCTCAAAAAACAAAACAAAAACAAAACAAAACAAAAAAGAGCTACTGACTTGGCTGCTTTGCTTTTCTGATCTTCAGCTTGAACTCCAGTATCTGTCTCTAGGCTTTTATTATCCGTGCTACAAGTAACTATAGCCAAGAAACACAGATTTGGATTACACCCAATTCCATACACCAATCAATAACAATTTGATAAAGTTTTTATAGTAACAAAACCAAGAAAACCATAAAAGACTTTCAAATACCTTTGTAGGGCTATCATGTGGGCAGCTTAAAGCACAACAGGGAGATCTCTGCTGTAGGCCTCAGAGACCATCACATGGCATTCTCGGTCCCGTGCTTGGGAGAAGCTTGGGATCTATTACTACATTCCAACAGGGTTAATTCGTCAGTCACGGAGATGTTAGGTCAGAGAGGTGGGCAAGGAATTGCTGTTAAGGGGATAAAAATAGGTCAAGATAAATTATAAGTTATAGTGAGATTCTAGATCTGCAACATTCCAACCCCTCCACGTCACTAAGTTCTAATCACTTAATGAGCCTTGCAGAAGTTTCTGTGGAATGTGCAGTTCTTGAAGGGGCTTCAGAATAGGCACAGAACACACTCAGACACCAAATTCTCAGCACAAAGAAGAGTGATTACATAGGAGGGATGGGACAGGCACTGCCTCTGAATGGGACGAAGACAGCAGCAGGTGTTTCTGTAGGGGTGGGTTTTAAGGAGGAAAGGGGAAGTCTGTTAGAATGGGTTGATGAGTCCTGATTGGACAGGTTAGTCAGTGTAACTAAAAAATGAATTTTGACTGCTGGACCTTGGTGTTTTGATAGTGGACCTTGGAGTCTTAGTCAGGCATAATCGTGGCCGAATAAGGGGCTAGACCTTAGTGGCTAGCTTTAGGAATATGCTCTAATGGTTTAGCAAGGGAGAGGGATGGAGGAAGGGCAAGACCTGCCAGCACCATATTTGCAATCCAGGGGCCTGTTAGAGAACCCTTTGGTTCTCTCTTGGAACTTCTTGTAGCAATTATCAGGTCACTTCTGATTGTCAGGTCACTTCTGGGGCCTGAAGGCCATTTCCAGGTCCCCTCCCAAGTGATAGAAGTTACAGAAGCCACAAACCTCCATTTGCATCTCATCCCTGAACCCAGGAAAGTAGTCTATCCTTGACCTCATTCAAACTTTTGATTGTAACAACCCTATCACCACCACAAAAAGAAAGAAAGAAAGAAGAAAAGAAGGAAAGTAGAAAGAAAGAAAGAAAGAAAGAGAGAGAGAGAGAGAGAGAGAGAGAGAGAGAGAGAAAGGAGAAAGGAGAAAGGAAAGCATATCACAAAACTATTCCTCTTTCTTTCCTCAGTCAACCTTTTCCAGAGATTTATAGACACTTTTATCTATAAAAGGAATGTATACACACACACACACACACACACACACACACACACACACACACAGAGTCTTGCTATGTAGAGACTAAGCTAACCTCAGACTTGTCATCCTCTTGCCTCTGCTTCCCAGTAATAATTATTGGGATTATAGGCATGAGCCACCAAGCCCAGCTAGTTTCCTTTGTATTTTATTTAGCAAGCTCATAGCTTCCTTATTTGGCAAGTGGTTGTCATGGAGGGTGGCTGTGAGGCACTTGAGTGAGTATGCTAAGTGCATCGTCAGAGAACAGACCCCTTAAGTTTCACCCTTTTTAGAAAAGCTTGCCACGCTGTCTTAAGCCAAATTCCTCTCTACAGTTTCTATATCCCTTAGCTCTGAATTTTTAAATTAGAATTAATTAAAATATTTCATTTATGCTCAATTTTTTATAAATTTATCTAAATTAGAAACAATCTTACCTTACATATCAATCCCAGTTTCCTCTCCCTCTCATTCTCCCGCCCCCCCACGACCCCCATCCCATCCTCCACCCACTCCCCAGGGAGGCTGAGGCCTTCCATGAGGAATCATCAAATCTGTCAAGTCATTTGAGGCAGGGCCTAGGCCCTCCCCCGTGTATCTAGGCTAAGAGAGTATCCCTCCATGGGAAATGGGCTCCCAAAGTCTGTTCATGCACTAGGGATAAATCCTGGTTCCACTGCCAGAGGCCCCATAGACTGACTGCCCAGTGCTCCTAGCTGACACCATATTCAGGAGGCCTGGTTTGATCCTATGTTGGTTCCCCATCTGTCAGACTGGGGTTCATGAGTTCCCAGTTGCTCAGGTCAGCTGTTTCTGTGGGTTTTCCCAGCATGATCTTAAACCCTGTGCTCATCACTCCTCCCTCTCTATGACTGGATTCCAGGAGTTTGGCTCAGTGCTTAGCTGTGGATCTCTGTTTCTGCTTCCATCAGCTACTGGATTAAGGCTCTAGGATGGCATTTAAGGTAGTCATCAGTCTCATTATAAGGGAAGGTTATTTAAGGTAGCTTCTCCACTATTGCTTAGGGGCCTCGTTGGGCTCATCCTTGTGGATCTCTGTACAATTCCCTAGAGCCAGATTTCTCCTCAAACCTACAGTAGCTCCCTCTATTGATGTGTTTTTTTTCTTGCTCTCCTCTATTCATCTCCACATTCAATCTTCCTGGTCCCTCATGTTCTCTACCCCCTCCTCTTTCTCCTACCTCCCTCCTCCATCCCCCCATGCTCCCAATTTGTTCAGGGGCTCTTGTCCCTTTTCCCTTCACTGAGGGACTGTGTATGTCTCTCTTACCATCCTTGTTTCCTAGTGTCTCTAGAGGTGTGGATTGTAGGCTGGTAGTCCTTTGCTCTATGCCTAATATCCATATATGAGTGAGTACATACCATGTTTGTCTTTCTGTAACTGGGTTACCTCACTTAGGATGGTTTCTTCTAGTTCCATCCATGTGCCTGCAAATTTCAAGATTCCATTGTTTTTTTTTCCCACTGATAGTACTCCATTGTGTAAATGTACCACATTTTCTTTATCCATTCTTCAATTGAGGGGCATCTAGGTTGCTTCCAGGTTCTGGATATTACAAATAATGCTGTTATGATCATAGTTGAACAGATGTCCTTGTTGTATGAATGTGCATCTTTTGGGTATATGCCTAAGAGTGGAATTGCTGGATCTTGAGGTAGACTGGTTCCATTTTCTGGAGAAAATGGCAAAGTAGCTGTACAAGTTTGCACTCCCACCACCATTGGAGGAGTGTTCCCCTTTCTCCACATCCTCTCCAGCATAAACTCTCTGGTGTTTTTAATTTTAGCCATTCTGATGGGTGTAAGATGATAGCTCAGAGTTGTTTTGATTTGCATTTCACCTATGGCTAAGGATGTTGAGCACTTTCTTAAGTATCTTTCAGCCATTTTGGACTCCACTTTTGAGAATTCTCTATTAATTCTGCACCCTACT